GGTCTCCTTGAGCGAGCTGTCCGTCGCGCTAGAGAGCCTCGACCACTTCTGGGGGCCCTTGTTCTGGATGTGGACCTCCCAGCCGCCGTTCGCCTTCTTCGGTCGGGACGATATCCCGACCTGCCGGGCGCAACAGCTCGCGGGGGCGGGGCGGGGGAGGGCACGAGGAGGCGGACAAGGAGGACACAAGACGATGACGGTGGCGATGAGGACGAGGATGAGGCGGAACTCGTTGGCGAGGAAAAAAAGGTGCGAAGCAACGGGCGAGGCGGAGGATGGCGGCGGGGAAGGAGGAGGAGGAGAGGAGGGGGAGAGGAGAAGGGAGGCGAGGATGAAGAGGATGAGGGCGACGACAGGGGGAGGGGGGGGATTGGGCACTCGGAGGGCGGTTGTGTTTCTTTCACCCACCCCCAACCTTGTAGTGGCCATGCACCTCGCACAGCTCCCTGCACTGGATGATGATCTGCATGTTCTTGGCGATGTCGCCCTCCACGTCGCCGCTGTGGTCCGTGGCCTTCACCTTGGAGGGCTTGCCCTTGTCCGTGGCGCCCTTGCCGCTCTTGTGGACACCCTTGCCCTTGCCGCCTTTGCCCCTGGCGCCCTTGGAGGCCTTGCCACCCTTGCCGCGGGCGCCCTTCGCCTTCAAGCTCTTGCCCTCGTCGTCGCCTTTGTTGCCGCGGGCGCTCTTCGCCTTGGAGCCCTTGGCCTCGTCGTCGCCACCGGCGCCCTCGTCGTGCTTCTCATTGCCTCGGGCGCCCTTGGCCTTGGAGCTCTTGTCCTCGTCGTGCTTCTCATTGCCTTGGGTGCCCTTCGCCTTGGAGCTCTTGTCCTCGTCGTGGCCATTGTTGCCGTCGGCGCCCTTCGCTTTGGAGCTCTTGTCCTCGTCGTGGCCATTGTTGCCGTTGGCGCCCTTCGCCTTGGAGCTCTTGCCCTCGTCGTGCTTCTCATTGCCGTTGGCGCCCTTCGCCTTGGAGCTCTTGCCTTCGTCGTCCTCGTAGCTCGCCTTGGGGGCCTCGCCGACGCTGCCATAGCCAATTGGCGGCCTACTTGGGCACCGCCTGTCCCCGTCCCCCCACGTCCAGCAGGCGGTGCCGTCCTTCATCTTGAGGCAGGCAGTGGCCAACGCGTGGTCCTTGGTGCGCAGCGCCCACTTGCCTGCGGCCATGTCCACAAGAACTTCGCCTTGCCGCCGTCTTCGCTGGAGCTGCCCGCGCTCTCGGAGAGCTCTCGATTCATCTTGGCGCCGACCTCGGGCACGAAACAAAAACAAGAAGAGGAGGAAGAGCAGGAGGAGCAGGGGGGAAGAGGAGGAAGAGCAGGAGGGAAGAGAAGGAAGAGCAGGATCTGGAGGGGAGAGGAGGAAGAGCAGGAGGAGGGGCAGGAGGGAAGAGGAGGAAGAGCAAGATGAGGAGGAAGAGGAGGAGGAAGAGGAGGAAGAGCCCTGGAGGAGCAGGAGGGAAGAGGAGGAAGAGCACGAGAAGCAGGAGGAAGGGTCAAGAGGAGGAGCAGGATTTGGAGGAGGAAAGGAGGATGAGCTGGGGCAAGAGGAGGAGCAGGTGGCGGGCTATGCAAGGCCTAGGGTAGTGACAATGATGACAAGGAGCAGGAGGAGGAGGGTGCGCTAAACGGCGACCTCCTTGCAGTGCGTTGTGCTCTTCCTGTCCTCGCCGCGCGAGCTGCTGCTACCGTCGCCTCAGGAAGAGAGGGGTAAGGACGAGGAGAGTTGGGGTGAAGATGGGGATGGCGGGGGAGGACGAAGATGATGACAGCGAGGATGAGTACGAGGAGGATGAGTCAGGGAGGATGGCTGGGAGGGTGGAGGAGCGACGGGAGGGAGGGGTGGGAGTGAGGGATGAGCGAGGGCGAGGACGAGGGAAGGATGGGAGGGAGGAGGGATGGAGTGCTGAAGAGCAGGATGAGAGGGAGGATGAGGCTGAGGACGAGGATGAGAACGAGGAGGGGCGGCAGGGAGGAGGGATTGGAGGGTGGATGGAGGAGGGGCAGGCGGGAGGGACGGTGTGTGTGTGGGGGGATACACGAGGGAGGGTGCGGATGAGGGAGGATGGAGGAGGGGGGGGGATATTGATGAGTAGGATGATGATGATGAGAAGGAGAAGGAGGAGGAGGAGAAGGAGGAGGATGAAGAGGAGGAGGGGCAGGAGGGGCAGGAGGAGCAGGAGGGCGAGGATGATGAGGAGGAGCGGAGTCCCCACTGACCTGGGCCATCCGAGAGAGGGTCGAAGCTGTCGGAGCCGTCGTCGCCATCGAAAATCTGCTGCACGCGCTTGCGCTCGGCGAGCGCTCGCGCCTTGGACGGGGGCGGCTGTTTCTTGGCGCGCGGGGTGAACTGGGACTCCATCGCGTCGACCAGGGCGTTCGGCAGCTCGTAGTCGTTCTTAGGGGGGGGGGAGTGGTCGCGACCTCCTCCTCATCCTCCTCCTCCTCCTGATCCTCCTCCCCCTCCTCCTCCCCGTCATCCTCATCCTCCCCCTCATCCTACTCTTCATTGCTCCACCCTCACCCTCCCTCCCACTCCTCCCGCTCCTCCTCCTCCTCCATCCCCCCTCTCATCCTTCCTCCTCCCCATCCGTCCTCATCCGTATCCTTATCCTCGCCCTCGTCCTCGTCGTCATCCTCATCTCATTCCCACCCTCAAATATAATCAATCCTTCCCCTCATCCTCCGCCGTCCCCGTGTTTCGTTCTGTTGCGTCCCGCCCACCTGCCACCTTCCCCTCGCGATCGCCCTCGTCGTCGTCGCCACATTGGCGTCTGTGGTCCTTGTAGCCCTCCTCCACGCACTGAATCGGTCCAGCGCCTTCTTCGCGTCAGCACCTATCATCTCGCCAGACTCCCGCGAACGCACCTCGAACGGATGAAGAGGAAAGGGGAGGGGGAGGGGGGGAGAGGGGGGGGAGGATGAGGAGGAGGAGGAAAAGGAGGAGGAGGAACAGGAGGAGGAGGGGGAGGAAGGAGGGAGGTGGAGGAGGAGGTGGAGGGAGGAGGGAGGAGGGAGGAGGGAGGAGGAGGAGGAAGCGGAGGAGAAGGAGGAGGCGGAGGAGGAGGAGGAGGAATAATAGGAGAAGTCTGGCACCATTGCAATCGCCCCCTCCCAATCGGCCAGGTCGAAGCAGAGCGAAGTGTTGACCTGGGACACAAGCCCATGCCGATGGCGACGCTGCCCCATGCCCCCTCCCCCCTCGTGAGGGGGAGAGTTGGCGTGGGGTAGCATCGGCATCGGTATGTGTTTGTCGCGCAGTGACCTTGGCAGCCGCCCTGATCACGCGCCACCACTCGCTTTTCAAGAGGTAGTCGCCCAGGCCTCGCGTGGCCTTGCGGCCGTTGGTATTCCACTCGCACAGCGGGCCCTGCGCCGCGAGCAACTCATGTGGAAGCTCGCGGATGGCGCCCGCCAGGCCCGCGCGCACGGTGGAGCTCATCTCCACAGCCCCCTCGGGGCGAAAAGGACGCCTTGAACCAGAATCCTGCAAAAAAATGCGAGGGAGAGAAGTCCCAACCAAACCAAGTTATCTCAACCTAGCTAGACGTAGCCCCAACCGAACCTAGCAACCCCCATCTATATATATATATGTATTAATAGTCCACAACCGAACCTACTATAGTCCTAGAAGCTTGGACTGACCTAGCCTAGTAGCCCCAACTTACGTTTAACATAATGGTGCCAACCTGACCTAGTAGCCCCGACCTAACCTTAACCTAGCACTGCCAGCCTAATCTTGCATGCAGTACCTATACGACGGTGACGTTCATGTTGGGGTGAATGTTAATGTTGAGGGTAGCTGCAATGTTAATCGTGGTGGTGTGGAATAATGTTCATGGTGTATGTGGATGATATCTGCAATGTTAATGACGATGGTTATGATGGTGAATATATTGATGATGGTGACGTTCGTGATGCTGCGCAGATCGAACGCAGCAGCAAGCAAAAGCAGACAAACACAGACAAAGCAGACAAACGCATACAAAAGCAGACACACGCAGACAAACCAGACACGAAAAACCTCCAAAACCCTCTGGGTGGAAGGTCCGGAAGGTGGAGGGCATGGGAAGCCTTCTGGGAAGCCTTCAACCCCGCCTGCGAAGCCCCATGCCCCATCCCATTGGAGAAGCCCCCCTCGCCCAACCCCTTTTCCGTCGCCAAGCTCGGTGGTGATCGAGTAGGGCGAGGGCGACGAGGATAAGGGCGGCGCGGCCAGCTGCAACGGCGACGACGGCGAAGAAAACGACGGACAGGGCGACTACAATTTCTTAGAGGACCCCCCGCACTCGCCGCACTTCTGTCTTCTCCATGCACCCAGCGGCTCGATTCTAATGGAGATACGGGCCTCGGAACTTCTGAAAGAGCGCGTTTTGTGGACTCTTGGAAATGGGGGTGAGGGCAGGTCGAACCGCATGTGGGCCCAATCCCGAGCCGCTGGATGCCTGGGTCGCGCCATATTTCTCTCCGCTAGCATGTCCTGCTCCTGGTCCTCTCCCTTACGCAGCTGCGCCGCACTTCGCCCGCAGGCGAGGCGAAGCACTTCCCAGCCGCACCCCGCGCGAGCACTAGGCCGGCGTCCCTTCGTGCGAGTGCGGGCACAGACGACCAAACGCCAGATCAGCAAGAAACGGCGCTGCAGACTAAAAGCGTACGAGCACAAGCGACGTGGAACATCGGGTTCGTATGCGCGAGCACTGGCGCGCAAGCTTGCCGCGTAGGATCGCGCGAAAGTGTCCTCATCTCCACGAAGGTTCCGCGTGAGTGGCTTCGCCATCAGGCGTGAGACCCCTTTCTTCCCGTCGCTCGTCTGGGCGTTGGCGTTCATGTCGGCCGGTCAACGTAATCCACGGGGGGCTGGGCTCGGCGTCTGGTGGGAGCGCGCTGGTCTCGGCCAGACTCGGGGGGGGGGCTGAGGATTAAGACGCATGGATCAGTGACGGTTGCCGTTTTCGTGCAGAATCGGCGAGATCCGTCGCCAAATGAGGTGGCACTGGCGCCATGTTTCGGGGGAGCAGTTTCCCCGATCCGTGGATCTGGCGTTCACGGTAGCGTGTGCCAGACCGGAGGGGCCGGAAACCCTCGAGTTCCTCACCGTCGCTTCCCCAGACGCCGCCGACGTCGACCATCTTTTCCCGCGCGCACATGATGAGTTGGGTGGCCCACGGGGGCGCGAAGTTGAAAAGGATTCGCGCGTCGCGGCATTGGCTCAGAGAAGCCCGACCTTGAGCATTGGGAGGAGGAGGACCAGGAGAACCAGGAGAACCAGGAGGGCCAGGAGGAGAAGGACGAGGAGGAGGAAGAGGAGGAGGAGGAGGAGGAGGAGGAGGAGGAGGAGGACAAGGAGGACCAGGAGAACCAGTACGAGGAGGACCAGGACGAGGAGGAGGATGAGGAGGAGGAAGAATAGGACGAGGAGGAGGAAGAAGAGGAGGAGGAGGAGGAGAAAAGTAGGTAGTAAGGAGCGTACGTGCGCCCGCTGCTGCCCGCTGCCGTCTCGGCGCAGGCGACCGCGCGTTGCGCCACCCCTGCCGCTGCCCGCCAGCCAGGCCTCCGACGAAGTGCGGGCACAGACGGCGTGGGCGGGGGAGAACCTTCGCGCGGCTGCTTCCAGGAGGAGGA